CTGTGTCCTCATGGAGCCAGGCCACTGCAGGGCAGGCAGATCTAGGTGTCATGGAGCAGGGGAGCAGGGAGCTGCCAGGCAGGCGAGCTGGTGCCCGTGGCACTCACTCCTTCCAGCTTGGCTCTGGCCTGGTTCCTTGGGACACAAACAGGTCTGATGAGTTCCTGGGCAGCTGAGTCCTTGATTTCCAGGAAAGCCAAACTCTTAGAGAGCAGAGGGAGCGAGGCCTGGGCAGGAGGCCTCTTTCAGATACTTCTCTTCCTCATCCTCAGGCCTCTCCCACCAGTGCTCACTGAACTTTTTTCTTGTGTTCTGAGTGGGGGAGCTCTGGGCTGATGGGGACAGCTCTTTTCTCACCTTCCCTAGAGGAAACAAGGAGCTTAGGAGGGCAAGGGAACAAGGAACGGGAGCTACTCGTCAACCCAAATTCAGTCTCTGCCCCCCATCCCTCTGCTTTGGGTGGCGGTGCTAGGGAGCACTTACAGATGCAGGCTCAGAGCCAGGGTACCTGGGTTCCACACTCTGACACTGAACTTGGGCAAGCTCTGGACCTCAGTTTCCCTTCCCAGACTCATAGAGGTAAGACGAGTAAGAGCACACACGGACCTGAGCCTGGGGCCTGGCAGGTCGGATCCCCTGTTGCTGGCATTTCTCCACTTGATCTCGGCCTCATCAAATCCTCCAGCCCCAGTTCCCACCTCTCAGCCGGCCGACTGCCATCTCTGCCTGGTTCTCCTCCTGCTCGAAGTGCTCTGGGTTGGTCCATGGGTTCTTCTCGTCGCACTGCCTGCTCTTCCTACGCTGGCTCGTACAGGCCCGGCTCTCCATCCCACACCGGCCGCTGCGTCCCTAACATCCACCTGCCTCCTGACCTCACTGCCTCACACTCGACAAGCCACCGAACTCAGCCCTCTCCCCAGAGCCACTTTCCCGGAGTTCTCTCCCCCAGGGCATCCTGCCATCAGTCACCAAAACTGAGTACCCTCCACACCCATTATTTCCACCCTACTTTCTGACCTTGCTCTCTTCTCTTTCCTTCCCCTCCCCCCTTCCTCTCTTCCTCCCTCCCTTCCTCTCTTCCTCCCTCCCTTCCTCTCTTCCTCCCTCCCTTCCTCTCTTCCTCCCTCCCTTCCTCTCTTCCTCCCTCCCTTCCTCTCTTCCTCCCTCCCTTCCTCTCTTCCTCCCTCCCTTCCTCTCTTCCTCCCTCCCTTCCTCTCTTCCTCCCTCCCTTCCTCTCTTCCTCCCTCCCTTCCTCTCTTCCTCCCTCCCTTCCTCTCTTCCTCCCTCCCTTCCTCTCTTCCTCCCTCCCTTCCTCTCTTCCTCCCTCCCTTCCTCTCTTCCTCCCTCCCTTCCTCTCTTCCTCCCTCCCTTCCTCTCTTCCTCCCTCCCTTCCTCTCTTCCTCCCTCCCTTCCTCTCTTCCTCCCTCCCTTCCTCTCTTCCTCCCTCCCTTCCTCTCTTCCTCCCTCCCTTCCTCTCTTCCTCCCTCCCTTCCTCTCTTCCTCCCTCCCTTCCTCTCTTCCTCCCTCCCTTCCTCTCTTCCTCCCTCCCTTCCTCTCTTCCTCCCTCCCTTCCTCTCTTCCTCCCTCCCTTCCTCTCTTCCTCCCTCCCTTCCTCTCTTCCTCCCTCCCTTCCTCTCTTCCTCCCTCCCTTCCTCTCTTCCTCCCTCCCTTCCTCTCTTCCTCCCTCCCTTCCTCTCTTCCTCCCTCCCTTCCTCTCTTCCTCCCTCCCTTCCTCTCTTCCTCCCTCCCTTCCTCTCTTCCTCCCTCCCTTCCTCTCTTCCTCCCTCCCTTCCTCTCTTCCTCCCTCCCTTCCTCTCTTCCTCCCTCCCTTCCTCTCTTCCTCCCTCCCTTCCTCTCTTCCTCCCTCCCTTCCTCTCTTCCTCCCTCCCTTCCTCTCTTCCTCCCTCCCTTCCNCTTCTTTTTACTTGTCTTCCTCCCTTTCTATTGGAATATATAACATAAATGTAGTAAAGGGCATTAATTGCTGAATCTTCATGGTACAGCTTGATCTCTTTCATATATGTTCACATCTGAGTACCCACCACCCAGATCAAGACATAAAGTATTCCCAGCTCCCATAAGGCTCTCTCGTGGCCCTTTCCTCCTCACAACCCTGACCCCAGGAGTAACCATTATTCTGCCTTCTAATCCTATAAATTAGTTTTGCCTGGTTTTGAATTCTATATAAATGGTATCAGAAAGTATGTACTCTTAGACATGGAGAGCAACAAACTAGAAATGAGAGTCCAGAAATGAACCCGTACATCTCTGGTCAATTGATTTTTGACAAGGACGCCAAGACCATTCAATGGGGGAAAAGAGTCTTATCAATAAATGGAAGAACTAGATAAAGAATAAAGTCGGAACCCCTACCTCATACCATAAACAAAGAAAAAAATTACTCAAGGTGACCCAAAGTCCTAAATTTGAAAACTATAAAACTCTTAGAAGAAAGAACATGCAAGAATACTATCAAGAAAGTGAAAAGGCAACCCACAGAATGGGGGGAAATATTTGCAAATTACATATCGAAAAAGAGTCTAGTCTCTAGAAAATTTATGGACGCTTACAACTCAACAGCAAAAAAGAGAAACCAATTTAAAAGTGGGCAAAGAACCTGAATAAACATTTATCCAAAGCTATACAAATGGTCGATAAGGAGGTGATAAGGAGTTAAACATCATTAATCACTGGGAAATTCAAATCATAACCAAAATGAGATGCTACTTCACACCCACAAGGATGGCTATAATTTTTTTTAAAAAGGAAAGAAAAATAACCAGGGTCAGTGAGAATATGAGGAAAGTGGAAACCTTAAACATTGCCAATGGGAATGTAAAATGGTCCAATCACTTTCAAAAAGTGCTTTGAAAGTCAGTTCAGCAATTCTTGGAAAAGTTAAATATATAGGTACTCTATGACCCAGCAATTTCACTCCTAGGTATATGCCCAAGAGAATCGAAAATGTGTTCACACTTGTACATGAATGGTCATAGCACTCTTATTTATAACAGCCAAAAAGTGGGAGCATCACAAATGTCCATCAAGAGATGAATGGATGAACATAATGTGGTATAGCCATACAATGGAATATTATTTAGGTATAAAAAAGACTAAAGTTTGGCTCAGTGGTTAGAACGTTGGCCCTTGGACTGAAGGGTTCCTGGTTTGATTACGGCCAAGGGCATGTACTTTAGTTGTAGGCTCCATCCCCAGCCCCTCTCCAAGCGCATGCAGGAGGCAACCAATTGATGTGTCTCTCTCACATCGATGTTTCTCTCTCTCTCTTTCTCTCTCCCTTCCACTCTCTCTAAAAAGCAATGGAAAAAATATCCTCAGTGAGGATTAAAAAATAATAATAAAAATAAAATAAAATAAAAAAGAATAAAGAATAAAATACTACAACACAGATGAACCATGAAAACATTAGGCTAAGAAGCCAGGCATGAAAGGCCCTATAGTATATGATTCCATTTATATGAATAGGCAAATCCATAGAAAAAGAAAGATTGGTGGTTGCCAGGGACTGGGTGCAGGAAGGATGGGGAGTGAGTGCTAATGCATTTCTTCTCCGGTTGATAAAAATGTTCTGGATACAGATAGTGGTGATGGTTGCACAACCCTGTGAATGTACTGAATTTACTTAATGCCACTGAATTATATACTATAAAGTGGTGAATTTTATGGTATGTTTATTAAAACATTTTATTTTTAAAAGTTTTATTGAAGTATGCTCTTATAAAAAATGTCAATAAACTAAGTAAGCTGTTTTGTGTGTGTCTTCCATGCAATGTAATCCACGAGAGCTTTGCCATGTTTGCTGTGGATCAGTAGTTTACTCCTATTGCTGTGTAGTGTCTAATGCACGAACATATTATAATTTATTTATTGATTCTCCTCTTGGTGGACATTTGTCTTGGTCCAGTTTGGGACTCTTATAAATCTGTAAATTCTTACATATGTCTTTCAAAGGATGTATGATGGACATTCTGGTGATATATACCTAGGAGCAGAACTCCTGGCTCAGGATATGCATGCATTTTAACTTTAGTAGATACTGCCAAGGAATGTCCCAAAGTGGTTGGCCCGTTTTACTCTCCTGCTAGCAAAATCGAAGAGTTCTGTTTGTTCCACATCCTCATCAATACTTGGTATGTCCGTCTTTTTACTTTGAGCCATGGTGAGTGTGCACCTAATGGAAGTGTTTATTTGCATTTTTCTTATGAGAAATGAGGTTTAACATTTTCTCAGGTCTTTATTGCCCATTTGATATCCTTTTTTGTCACCTACCTGTTTTTTGTTTGTTTTTTGTTTGTTTGTTTTGGTTATCTTTCCAGTATTGACGTATAAGACTTTTAAAAAGTATATTTGGGATATGAGATCTTTGTCAAAATGTATTGTTGGCAATATCTTCTCCAGCCCAGTGCCTTGCCTTCTCATGTTCTTCATGCCGTCTTTCGCTGAGCAGAAGTTTTACATTTTGATGAAGTCTAATTTATGCACCTTTATTTTATGGTCGGTGCTATGTGTGTTCTGTTTAAGAACTCTTGGCCTATTCTTTAAACATCCCTTGAATCGATCTCTCCTTTCCATCTCCTTTGCCTCTACCGAGCTTCCAGGTCTCTCCAGGACTTGCTTCCCTCTGTGTCCCCATGCCAATTCTTGTCCTACTCACTGCATGATCTTCCTGCCCAGGGACAGGACTGGCAATAGGTCTGGCACGCACTAGGTGCTCAATAAAAGCTTCATAAATGAAGGCAGTGTCCTGTGGCCCAGCTGGGGATCATTAAAACTGTCAATTAGTTCTAAACACTAGCTCATCAGGAACATTTGAGCAAAGCCAGAGAAGTAAAAAGTTTTGGAAAAACCAACAACACAGGAATGTTCAGCGTTCTCCCCAGCAGGAGCATTAATCACAAAAACTCAGACCTTGTTAGCATTATTTATTCTTGCTTTGCGCCCCACCCACAAAACAAGGGGAGCCTTTCCTCACACATGTTGGTCATCAGTGGCCCCGACCCCCAGTGTTTGCTGCCTCTGACTGTGGGGGAGGTCCATGATCTCCTTCTAGTCTTTCTCTTCGCCATGTGTGATGACGTAGCATAGGTTCCTGTAGTCCAGGTTGCCACACACATCTGGGGGGAAAGCTGCAAACATCTGCTTGATCTGGGGAAGGAGCAGGGAGTCAGCCTGGACCAGGGCCAAATAAGGGCCAGAGTAGGGGCTCACCCAAAGGAGTCAGAGTGCAGACGGAGACATGGTGGTGGAGGGCACAGAGGCCAAGGTCCCACAGCCACCCCTCACCCCTGTCGTTCTTGCTCTCATCCAAGGTGTCAAAGGAGACATCACCTCAGCATCAAGAGAAGAGTGATCTGGGTGGGGTGGGGTGGAGGTGGCTGCTGAGAAGGTCTGGGCTGCGCCTCCCAGGAAGACTCTTAGCAGTGCTGAATGGCACCCTAAAAAGCCAGAGCTTACCTCCTCCTCGCTGAACCGGTCTGCCTGGGTCATGAGCTTCTCTTTGATGCTGCTCACAGGTGAGAAAAGGTCATGTTCAGGGGAATGGCCACCCTGTGAGTGGACACACGTCCCAGGGGTGATGAGGGCAGGTGGGCTTGGGGGAGGAGTCCTGGCCCAGGAGACACCCATGAGAGTAGGGAAGGGGGCAGGGCTGGCCCTACAGCCCCCAGTGGGCTCAGATGGCCACTTCAGCTGAGCCTTATTTTCTTCCTTTGTAATATGGGCTCTACTCCCAGCATCAGTGGGAACCAAATGAAATTACCTTGGGACTCCAACATGACCTTGGGGGCCACTCTGATGTCCCATCATGCACAAATAATCAACCTCAAGGTTACCGAGGGCAGACTCTGCCTTGGTTCTACATGCACCGCTTCCCCGGCTTGTGATGGTTGCTGCCGTCTGTGTAGTCAGCCCAGGAATGGGGAGGCCTGCCCGGGGTTCATTTCCTCTCCATGGCCCTGGGAACTGAGTGCCATTGTCTCCCTTTACAGAGAGGGAAACTGAGGTTCGGGAAGGGTAATAATTTGTAGTGGCATGGTGGGGCCTGTCCCCTTGGGTGGTCCAGAGCAGGCACCCCCAGGAGCCAGAGCTTGTGTAGGTCCAGAGGAATGGCCAGAGATGAGGCATGGAAGGTGAGTTTAAGGCTGATGCCCTAGCTGCTGAGGTGATGGTGCCCAGAGGGCTCTCGGGGGGGAGCAGGGGGCAGGGGTAGGATCAGAGGGCTGAGCGGGTGCCCTGAGCACCCAGTGGCCTATGTCTCCAGCAATGGCAGGCCCCACTAAGGACTCGCACATTTTCCATCATTTATGTTACTGCAGGACAGTCACAGTTTCCAGCTCTCCAGGCTGGGGACTTTTCATAGACTCTGTTTCAACCAGAGCATCCTGTGGTCTGACTGGCAGACAGCCACATCTTCCAGGTCCCTTGTCCCTGGAGGGTGCCTTTGGTTCCCCAATTGGGTTCCCAAAGGGTTCCTCCCAGCCCTGGCCTTGTGTTGGCGGGAGTAAATGTGAATGGCAGTAGAGGGGTTGGTTCAGGCGACTCCAGGGGGCACCCCAGTGCCTCTCCCAGGTCCCCAAGATGGGGGTGGGAAACCATGGACCCTCAGGGAGTGGTGAAGGAGAGGGCTGAAGCTTGGGGAAATCCTCGTCACCCCTCTCCTACCCCTGGGGAGTGGGTGACTCACAGCTTTGCCAGGTGGGGGATGGTAAGAATGTGAGAGACAAAACAGACCTTCCCCTCTTCTTCCCTGCGCCCTGCCCTCTCCCACCCATCTCCATTAACTGATAATTCTAACAGGCAACAAAACTAGTCTCAAAGCCAAGGCCTGAAGCATCATAGTAATTGGTCATAAAGCCTGTGCCTGGGGAAGAAATCTTGCCTGCCCAGGATCACCCACAGGCCCAGCAAGGCCTTGGAGGCTCAGAAGGGATGGCCCGGGACAGCTCAGAGGTCAGTTCAGGGTCCCAGCCCCTGGACAGGTGGTCACTGCCCTGCTTGCCCCTGCCCACCACCCTTGACTCTCTGCCCTGAGTTCTCACTGGGCTGAGGCTCCCAAGCAGAGCAGACATCAGTGCCCCCACCTCTATAATGCCAGCCCAGTGGCCCACTGGACAGCTGCCCACAGTCACCTAACTCTCTGTGTATTCCCAGCTGAGCTGGTCCCTTCCCATGGGCCAGCATCCATCCCGAATTGGCTCAGGCCCTGGCTAACATCTGGCCCATTCCTCTCCCCAGAAGCCTGGATCCCATTGACTTTGCCCTCTGGCGTTTCACTTACCCATTCACTCCTCTCCATCTCAACGGCCAAGGCCTTCATGGTGGCTGTAACCCTCTCCTCTTCTCCTCCAGGCTGGCCTCCATGTTGCCCCTGCCTAACTCCTTCTCAGGCTCTCCTATGCCCCCAGGGCAGGCCCGTGGTCCAGGGCCTGGTGAGTGGGCTACCCCATACAGGCCCTGCCTGCCTCTCTGTGCTTAATCTCCCCCGCCCCACACCCACTCACTGGCTTCGGCCACAGGCCGCTCCTCCTAACCTTGCACACGCCAAGCCCTGGCAGTTCACTTGCTGGGTTCCTACATCTAAGATACTCCCTGCCTCAGCCCAGGCACCTTCAGTCATCCTTCAAGGCTCACCTCTACCCCCACTCCCACCGGCCATTGGGAAGCCCTCCCTGGTGACCTCATACTCCCTTTCACACAGAAATGGGGGCACTGAGGCCTGGAGAGGGGAGGGGGCATCAAGTGATGGCTGAGCTGGGCTGAGTTCTGGGCAGAGAGGAGATTGGGCTGCCACCCACCCAGACCCCATACCAGCTCCTTTATAATCTGAGGCTTTGGAGAGAGGAAAATCAAAATGGAAGGCAGAGGAGACTTACAAATCCGCCTTGACGAAACCTTTCCCTTCAGTGTCGAACACCTTGAAGGCATGGAGAATGGTCTCCTCTGGGTCCGTGCCTAGAAGCAGCACACACAGCCGGGAGAGCACCCAAATGAAGAGAGTCAGCAGGGGGCTGGGGCTGGGCAGGTCCCATGGCCCCCACAGGGAGATAGTTTGGGGAGCTTCCTCCCCAACTTCTACTCCACAGTGGAAGCAAGAGAAGGGAGGTTTCAGGGAAACAAGGAATAGTGGTAACTGCCAAGGGCACCGCCTGTAGTTATATATGCTCTGTACAGCTGTACAGGAGACCCTGACAAAGCACTTACTACGTGCTTAACCAGCTGACCATTGGCCCGATTTTCCAGACAAAGAAAATGAGGCTCCGAGAGGTTAAGTGACTTGGCCAAGTTCTCACAGCTGATGCTGCCATGTGATTAGTGAGGTGGGAGGGCAGCTCTGGCACTTTCTCATTGCCTGAGATGTGGGTGAGAGAAGAAAAAATGCTGCACTTGGGGGCCAAGGCTGGGACTCAGGGAGTGGCATTGGAGGGGTCTGCAAGATTGTCCCAGCCAGAGGCAGGGCAGGTGGGACAACGAGCTGTGGGGTGGGGCAGTGGAGAGGGGCTGTGGGGAGGAGCAGTTTTGGTTTTATCACCTTCATAGCATGGGCTTTAGGAAAAGGAGTCATTAGGAGAAATAGACCTATTCCCAAAACAAGATTGGATATCTTGCCCCCTGGTTGTACAGATGGGGAAACTGAGGCCCAGCAAAGAAGGGTCTCACCCAAGGCCTCACAGGCTGTGCGAATGACAGCTGGTGACCTGGTGATGTATATGTAGTGCTCTTTCCTCTCTGTCACTCAGCCCTCCCCTCACTGTGGACCAGGGATGTCCCCTTCCTTCCTTAAGGCTTAGCTGTGTCCTTGGTGAAATGGAGATAAAGGTGGTGTTTGCTCCCACTTCCTAGGATGAATTATGGTAACGTATGGTTAATGGTAAAGATCTGGACAAACATCATTCCATCATGGCCGCAAGTGTGGCTGAGCGTGCTTCGGCAAGCCCCACCCTGCAGCCTCACTGTTCTACCCCATGGAACCCCCAGATCAGCCCACGTGGTAGGTACTGATGCCCCCAGTTTGTCAAAAAGGAAACTGAGCTCAGAAAGTCTCTGTTACTTGCTTGAGGTCCCCACTACTAAGGGGAGGAGGGTTTGAAGGCAACTCTTTGGGCCTCCAGAGCCCCCTGCTTGTCCCACCACTCTGCTCCTGCCTGTCAGACTGATTCAAGGTCAGCTGTGTCTCCCCCATCAAACTGATCAGAGCCAGCTGTGTCTTCCCCATCAGACTGGGTCAGGGCCTTCTATGTCTACCACATCAGACCGGGGGCTCATGCAGGACAGGATGGTATCTGGGTCATTAGGCATCTCTGAGGCTGGCCCAGAGTGGCCAAGCCTGGCACATTGCTGGCCTCCCAGCCACTCTGCTCTGCAGACTTTGTACCTCATCAAATAGGTACAGAGTAGCTACATTCCCCGCCCCTCCCCACCAATCGCTGTTATTTCTAATCTCATGACAATGTGTCCTTGTCCCAATTAGAGGCCTGAGACAGTGCCTGCCCAGCCTTAGCTCCTGTCTCCACTGCTGGCTGAGCATGCAAGCTCAGCCAAGTTCAGCTGAAGTCCCAGTGCTGGCGTCCCTGCAAAAATGAGAAAAAGCTGGGAGCCTGTGACCCTGCCTGGTCTGGGTCAGAGGTCTTAGCTCAGTCGCAGACCAACACACCTCCTTTTAAGTCACTGGGTCACCGGCTAGAGTCCCAAATGTCTCTGGGAATGTAAACCCTGCCCCAGGTCCCTGGGCTTCTGAGCTCTTCCAGGAGGTGGCCATGGTCCCAGGAACAACCCCTACTGGCTGCCTGGAGGTGGGCCAATGGCACTCCTGAGTCAGCTGAACAGCTCCAGGCCCACAGCCTGCCCTCTCTCCCGCCCTCAGTTTCCAGTCTCTAACACGGAGGGTGGAGCTATCTGGTCATAGGGCAATTGCTGGCCTCCTTCTAGTCTAGGATCAGCCAGGACATTGTGTGTGGGGCTATTGTACTCGCCAGCAGGCCACAGCCTGTGAGAGCATTATGATTTCTCACCAAATAAAATCTGTGCTGTTAGGTACGATCACCCCTGTAGTGGGCTGAATTGTGCTCCCTCCCAAAAATATATCCATGTCCTCATTCCCGGAATAAGGAAATGTCATTTTACTTGGGAAAAAGGCCTTTGCAGATGTCAAAAAAGGATCTTGAGATGGGGAGATGATCCTGGATTACCCAGGTGGGCCCTAAATCTTGTAACAAGTGTCCTTTTAAGAGTGAAGCAAGGGAGCCACACAGAAGAGGAGGCAGTGGACCACAGAGGCAGAGATGGGAGCGATGCAGCCACCAGAGACTGGGAGAGGCAACAAAGAGATTCTCCCCTGGAGCCTCTGAGGAAGCAGGGCCTGCCACAGTTCAGATTCCAGGCTTCGGAGCAGAGAGAATACATTGCTGGGTTTTTGAGCTGTCAAGTTTGTGGTCATTTGTTACAGCAGCCTCGGGAAACCAACACAATGCTCATTTTACAGACAAAAAACTGAGGTGAAAAAGCAGACAAGCCAAGGTCACCCTGGGGGCCAGTGGGGGGCTAGGTATAGAACCCAGATCTAGCAGAGACAGGGAGGGAACCAGGCAGGGGCACCCTGAGGGTGGGGTAGCTACAAGGCCCACCTCCCAGGGCAGCCTCAGCCTAAGCTGGCCCTTCCCTCTGACTGTGGAACCCTCAAGCCCAGGGGACGGCACTAAAGGGCAGGGGACAGAGATGCCTTGACTCCCACCACAACCTGCACCCCAGGCCTAACGTTGCAATGGTTAGAGCCAGGAGTCGGGGTTAGGTTCCCTCCCCATCACTTAGATGCTGGGACACCTGAGGAAGTTGTGGTGACCTCTCTGAGCCTGAGAGGCTCATTCACTTGTGAATGAGGCCCCTCCATCTTTTCCCTGGGGGAGGAACTGTGGTCTGACATAGTAGTTTCCACCCCCTACCCTCCATAGCCCCTCCTCCGGGCGTAGTGGACGGTGAGGCAGAGCAGGCAAGAAGAGCCCAGGGGTAGGGAGGTGGGGCTGAGGCAGCATTCTGATGGTGGGCAAAGAGCTTTCACACAATTTGTCCTGCTGTGCCCCTCACAGCCCTGCAAGGAGGGGTGGCTACAGGTACCACCATTCTGTGGTGTAGAGGTGGGAACTGAGGCAGAGCTGGGAAGGCATGTGCTCCTGGGGGTGACACCATGCTCCCAGCTGGGGTGTGCGTCAGCGGGGAGGACATCTGCAGATAGGACCCAGCCTGCCCACGCCCACTCACCCCTCCCTCCCCAGGGCCACCTGGAGTCTCACTCACCCTTCAGCTTCTCCCCAAACATGGTCAGGAAGACAGTGAAGTTGATGGGCCCAGGGGCCTCCTTCACCATGGCCTCCAGCTCCTCGTTCTTCACATTGATGCGCCCTGGGGGGGGGCGGGGGTTACCCGGGAGCACAGTGAGGGCCAGAGGGGACTCTGCCTGCAGGCAGCCCAGGAGAGCAGAGCCCAGGGCCACGGAGCATCCTGCAGTCTCCCAGCTCTACCACCCACCTGCCCCCATCCCCTAAGGCCCCGCCCACCTGCTGGGGGACCTGGGGAGGGGACCACATCCAACCACAGTCAGCATGGGGCTGCCCCAGCCTTACTGCCCCAGCAAGTTAGTTGATTGTCATCTCCATTTTACAGATGAGGAAAATGAGGCTCAAAGAAACTGAAGCTGAGGTGTATAGGGGCTGGAAGACCTGGATCTCAGACTCATTTGTCTCCAGAGGGGGCAACTGGTTGCCAGGAGGTTGGGATTCTGGGATTCTTCATGGTTCCAGGGGACAACCAGATCTCTAGGAGCTCAAAGCTCAGTACAGAAATGACTTGGTTTTGCCCCCTCCCCACCACCACCCCATATCTCAGGCCCCACCCAGTCCCTGAGGCCCCCCTTCAGGCCCTTCCCTGGGCCTTAGAGGGTGCAAAAGCCTCCCCTGGGAGCTGAAGCTTGGAACCCTTGAGTCCTGCACACATCTCCAGCCTCTCCCCAACCTGAGGCAGCTCTTGACTCCTCACCTCACCCCAGCCTCCCACCTCTGACCTTTGCACAGGTCATTCCTGCACCTGAAATACCCTCCCTGCTTCCCTGGCAAGTGTTCTCCTACAACAGGAATCCCTTACTGACCTTCCAGGTAGCAACCACACCTTCTCTGCACCCACAAACGGCACATGAACCCCTCACACCCACTGCGCCCAGCCGCTCACTCTTTCTGGATGGCCTGCTCTGCCCCAAGCTCCTGGCCCCCCTGGCTGCTGATCACCCACCCAGGGCAGCAAAGGTGTCCCTCAGGTCCTCCTTGTCAATGAAGCCATCCCGGTTCTGGTCCATGATGGTGAAGGCCTGGCAGAGACAAGGGCACTGAAAAGTCACCCTCCCCTTTCACCCAAGCCCAGCTTGCCTCCCCAGAAAAAACCCTCTCCCCAAGGGGCTGTCCTGCAAACTGCTGCCCCAGCAACCTCAGTGCAGCCCCCTCTGGCCACCCAGTTACCCAGCTCAGTGTGACACCAGCGTGACAGTGAGGGTTAACCTGCACTGAACTGCTACTGTGTGCCAGCATGCTGCTGGGCTTCATGCCCATCCTTCATTCCATGTCCACAGCAACCCCCTTTCACAGAGAGGAGAACTGAGGCTCAGAGAGAGAAAGGGCTTACAGCAAGCAAAGGCTCAGATAGAGAGGGGTCAGACTGCCTAAGGACAGCAGTCACATCTGCAGGTTCTGAGGCACACCACGGTGGCACTAAGAAGAGTGACATCATCACTCCTCAAGGACTGAGGGCTGATCCCACTCCTTATTGGCTCCCCAAGTGCTTTCTATGAATTACATGAACCCTCCCAATGGCCCCAGTGAGCACTGACCAACCTCTTTAAACTCCTGGATCTGGGACTGATCAAACATGGAGAAGACGTTGGAGCTGGCTCCACCTTCCGTTCTTTTCCGGGCTCTTCTGGGTGCCTGTGAGGTAGTAGGTGAGGCCTTGCAGAAGGGAAGTCAGCCATTCACCACCTCCCAACCCTCATGCCTCATCTCCCACAGTGTCATCCTGAATGACGCCCCCACCCACCCCCAGCCTGAAGCAGACTGGCAGGCAAAGCTTCTAATGAAGCCTTGCGGATAAGCAGGGTGGTTTCCCAGCCCACGGCAAGAAGCCCACAGGAGCGCCCACCCCCCGGGTCAGACAGCTGCTTCCTGACCTGGGCCCCCGGGCTCCGGAAGGCTGGTGGTCTGCGCCCAGCCTGTGAAGCAGAGAGGGGCATATTTTCTAGCATCAGACCCCAAATGGGGCCCATCTCCTCTCCTGCCATCCTCCCCAGTGTTCTCAGGATAACATTTGGGCTCCTCAGCCCTGTGAGATCTGTCCTTTGTCCCTCTCCCAGAGCTTCTACCCCCACTCACCTGGGACCCCCACTCTATCCCAAATCTGCTTTGAGCTCTCTTCTCTCCCAACATTTGCTCCTGCAATTCCCACTGCCTGGAATACCTTCCCTGCCTTCCATCTGGTAGAATCTTTATCCCCCAGGCTCAACTTCTCTGCCACCTCCTCTGAGAAGCCTTCCCTGACCCCTAAGCCAATTTAGAGCTCCCCAGATTCTTCCCTCACCACCAGTCTAGGGCAGCCATACCCCATAGCACGGTCCACACTGTCCTGCCATATCTGTGTCTGTTCATCTCGGCAGACCCTGCCTCACCCAGGCTCAGAGTGGGGATTGACTTGGAAATAGCTACCCACGGCTCAGGGGTAAACTCCCCAGTAGGTAGAGCAGGCGACCACCCACATGGAATAATTCCAGGGAGTCCACTATTGAGCATTCACTGAAAGCCCTCAGTCCTCAAGACTCCCTGAGGAGATCTTGCCCTCAGCAGCCATCATTAGGGCCCCCCATGTTCGAGTCCCTGAACTGGCTCAGAGAGGTGGTACAGACACTGGCTTCCTGCTCCCATCCCTCTACCCCCTCTCCTGCTTCCATCTCAGCCAAGCTCTGTCTATCCATCCCCAGAGCATGCCCCCCCCCC